AATGCGTAGGAGCTCGAAGCCACTGAATTCAGAGAAAAAAATACCTAACAATGGAAATAAAAAATTTCTAATAGAGGGTAGACGAATCGGTGATAAAGAAAACAAAGGGACTATTTGTTTTAAAGGGCTCAATAATTACCGCGCACTTTAAGGTATCATTAAATGCTGCGACGGTACAAAACGACATTCAGCTGTTAAAAATTGTAACTCTAATTTTACAACAAAAAAACACATTCCGTGCTTGCTTTTTTTGTTTTCAAACCGACCACAATTTCCTCCTCCACTTTTTTTACCTTTCACGCATAGGCTGGGAACTCTCTAGAGCCAAAATGTCTAGCGGTAAGGCTTGTACACCCACCTAACTGTGAGGCACTGCAGCAAATTACTGAGGCTAAGCATTTGGCTGCTTGATTCTTATCATCTCTTCACACACGCGAGCCAGAGAGCCTCCAGCCTAACCACGAGATGGCTTTCCATCGTCAATGATTATCATAATTATCTAATTGTACCGAATTTCCAGTGAGCTTCTTTCTCCCTAATCGCCTCTTTCGCTCTCGCTCTTGCTCACTCGCTCTCTCTCCCTTCGTGCCGCCTTCCTCCCCACTTCTCTCTAGCGCGTATGCTCGCAAATAAAGCGGTTGGTTAGATAACCGTCCCAGAGACAAAATCTCACCGAATAGAGGCGTTGAATGGACCGTATAATGCTCACCGAAGGGCCGAATGGATACGTTGGATGGTTGTGTGTTGAAAGTGGAAATAGAATGCGTACAATTAAGATGTAAAGTACCGGTAGCTACTGTCGACCTAGTGAGGGCACAAGGTGTTGGCTAGAGTCTGAACGTCTCCTGTTGAAAACAAAAGACTCTAAACATTAGAGGGAAGTCAAGGGACGAACTTAACTGCCTTAAGAGTTATTGTTCTGTGCACAATAAATGACAGTGGTTGAGAATTCTTCGCTCTTCCAACACCCATTTTGTCTTACCAGTGCTCAGGTGAGTTGCATTTACTCTGACGACTGCAAATTCTCGAGTGACTCGCCAAGGCACAAAGTAGCTCCCAATCCCAAGCATTAAATTAGTGCCTCCTAGATCAAATTCAAGCTACTTCGGAAAACTAGCGACAAAGCCCCCAAAATGCCCTCGATTCCTCCATTTCTTCTCCTTACCTTCTCTTCAATTTGCCTTCGCCTAATGGCGACTGAACTAATAAATTAAACCATAATCGTCAACAAAATTAAAAGAAAAGTTTCTTTTGCTACCATTCAGGTCGCTTGATTAGGCAAAGCTCCGCACTCGTCTCAATTAAGCAGTTGGTCAACTGGATCTCACTAACCCAGCACTGGCCATTTCACATGTCCTGGATGATGGCTCTACTCGAGAAAGAACAGGAAGAAAACCCCGCTACTGAAGGGGCTCCCCAGGCAGACGTCTCACCTCCAAGTTGTGCCCATAAAGACATACTGCTGGGGTTGGTAATGAAGGTAAGGAAGAGTGTGATTCATGTCTGAGTAAACTTAAAAGGAGAAGAACATTGAAAATCACTTTTTCTTCCCACACGAACAGCCGACATGACCATGTGTAAGCAAAAATACGGAAAAATTTTATTGAAAACGAAATCGCGCCATACCCAACTCACAAAAACCGCTTACATACGAAGATGGTTCAAAGCACAAAATGATAAATCAACAAAAAATGCCAATTTTAAGTAGGAAACAAACTGTAATTATGCCTAATTAATTTCTACCTCATTTATTTTCTCGGATAGATTTCGTTAAATCTTCTGACAGTTTGAGTTATGTGGTAATAAATAATGAAGTACTAGTTTACTTAGACATTAGTGCAAATAATCGTCCTCAGTGATAAAATATCGCAATCGTATCTGACACTTAAAGTTAATTCTGTCCAGAATAACTGGATTTTAACTTAGATATTTACCACTCTACTCTTCCAACTTTTAGGCCTTGGAGGAGGTTTCCGCCTTGCCACCCATCGGTTCAATCCTCTCGGGAGACGACCGCGATCCTGCCAAATTACTTCGTTTCATTAGAGACCAGGTTGATTGCCAATATTCTCTTGTTGACCTCAAGCACCTCGTGGACAATAGCCTTTTCCTAAGCCCAATATTTCGGGTGTGCGTTAAAGGCGAGTTCGTGATCCATTTACTGCCCCGCAACACAAACAAGCCGCGATGTAGTTTTGCTTCGATAAATGTGACTCGAGTTTTCCAATGTCGATTAGACACCTCGCCTTATAAATTACTTTAAAATAGCCTAGAAATTTGAAAATTGAAAAACATGAATTACCTTTTTCTTGAAGCTATTAGAAGTAGGTGTTTTGAGATGATAATCATGTCTTATGCTTCGGTTTTATCCCAAAAAAGCATTTTCAGAGGCGTACTGAAGCAGGGCGATTTGAACCCCATCTACAGAGCAAGAAAGTAAGCCCGATGAGCTGGAAATCCTGTTTTCACTTCGTTGTAGAAGGCGAAGTAGAGAGGAGGGGCATTCGCCTCATTCTCTTGTGTGATGTTAATTTTAGATTCTGTTGCAGTAATTTGATGAGACCCACTTTTGTTAATTCGCGTTCTGAGCAAACAACTTTTACTGGTTTTTATTGCCTACAGAAATACGTAATTTTTACTTCGGAGCAGTTACGAGGGATGGTCAAGGTGTTGAAATGGAGCATGTCCTCCCTGCATCCAAGGAGGCGGTTTCCACCGCCACATTACACGAGGCAAGACGCAGTTTTTACGTGACAGCTCCAATGCCACAATCCTTTGATACCCTGCCACAATGGAGCGCCGGAGGAGGAGAAGGAGCA